GGGAGTGAGCACCAAATCATAGAATCTCAAAACTGGAAGGAACCCCAAGGACCCTCTGTTGCTTGAATCTCCTTTGTAATCTCTTACCGAATGGTTGGACATTCTGAGCTTGCATATCCTAAGATTCAGGGTGCTTATTACCTCATAAAGCAACCCAAGCCATCTCAAATCAGCCCCAATGCTCAGAAAATTCTTAATATTGAGTCAATATATATTCCTATGTATCCACTGTGGAGCCCCAGTTCTTTGGGACCACACTAAACAAGTCTAGGTTCTTTTTGTACAATGCCTCTTCAGATATCTCCTGCCCCAGCGTCTGTACACCTTGACCCCATGTGGGGAAGTGTCCAAAGTTCTGGAAACACTGGGCTCTTCTGAGCATTTTTGGGGGGCAGTCAGAGGGTTGCCAGAGGGAGGAAGATGGGAAAGTGGGGAACCTTCCAGTTTATCCATTGGGCTGGACATGTTGCTGCTGTCCTGCCCTGGCCGAGCTGTGTTGCTTCTGAGCCCTGCCTGCTCTGGCACCACCTTCCCCATATTCCTTCCCTCTCCCAGTGTCCAGGCAACAGTAAACAAACATGGAAAACAGAGGGAAGGCTGGTCAGGACAGGCTTAGTAGGGAAGGCTTTGAAGAAGAAACACACACACCCAGCTTAGCTCTACTGCCTGCCAACTTCCACACACCTTCCCTGCCAACTGTCAGGAAGCCAAGGCAGGCCTGGGGCTGCCCTTGGGACTATGGGGGACCACAGTTCCCCTCTTTGGATATATGTTGGAGGAATCCAGGTGGCAGAATCAAAGGTAAATTTTATTTCTATAAATTCAAGGGTCAGAGTCCTAGTGGACATATGGATTAATCCATCACGAGGTTTCTCTCTCCACCTAAAAACATGCACATGATTCCAGAAGATGGATCTTAGTTGCCTAGTCCATCCTGAAGGCCTGGCTCTGGTTGATTGGGTAGAACATCCTCAGAGATTCAGTTCTCAAGGACTTTCCCTCCTTAGTCCAAAAATAACCCTCAGCTGTCTCTGTTAACTTCACTCTCTTCTATGGTCTCTGGCAGGGCCCTGGTTTATTTCCTAAGAACTGAAGTACTGTTTGGCCACCTCTCTCTACTCTTAATCCTCTCAGCACATCTTTGGATATCTGTCCTTCAGATGTCTGTTTAAACATCCTTTCCACCAAGTCAGGGGCCCTGCTTCGATCACCATAGCTCATCATTCTGGGATGAGAGGTTGGCATCTCTTCCCTTGTCTGTCTTCCCCGCCAGAATGGGTGCTCTAGAAGGACAGATTCTACATTTCATTAATCACTGCTCCTCAGCACCTAGTGCAAGGCCCAGCCCTCTTGCTAAATGGATGAAGGCTCTGCAGGATGTGGTTGATATTGGTGAAGTGAAGATGCCTTTTATCTCTTAATTCTCTTAATTCTTCAGGTCTGTCATCAGGAATTTACATACTCCTTACAAATTCTTTTCTCCATTGTTCCCTTGATAACAGCTCAGTTTATAACATTTAATCAACCACCTTTGCTTTGCTATGGTACTCTGCTGACACAACAGTGGGTAGGCCACTCCTTTCAGTGATGGGGACTGTTTCAATGCCGTTTGCGCTTATAAGTCTGGGCCAGCTCCAGCATATCACTCGATGAGAGGGATAGGGGCATATCCAGGCTCCCTCCTGGCATCCCTTCTTCTCTTGAGGTGGACCAGTAGGAATTACGAAGGCTTAGGAAGCCTAAGTAGGGGATCAGGGAGTCCCTGTGTCTCATGTGTCTGAAACTCTCACCTGCCAGCCCTGATCTGGATCTCAATCCCTAACCACAACCCAGATACTGAAACAGAACTCCACATATGGCTCTCATCTCCCTGTAATTAACTATAACCCTCCCTCAGCTGAACTCAACATTCTCCCATCACACCAGCTCTACCACTTCTAAGCCCCCCATTCTTGTCCAGGCATGGCCTCACCTGGTAGTCCTCCAATTCCAAACCTTTCCTGAGAGCTGGATGGAAAGGCAGCAGCTGCTGTGACTTCTTGGCTTTTCTGTGACTGTACCCTGAGACTTGTACATTCTGTACTGTTTATGACTCCTGCTCCCAGAACCTTCCTCAGAGGCTTCCCCTGCATGGCCATTCCAGGGGTCTGCTGCTCACTCCTGGGAGTTGCAGGGGTGAGCTTCGTGTACATGGGGACTTGGGAGAGGTGTTAAGGAGCCTGCTGATTGTGTGTGTGTGTGTCGGGGGCGGGGTGCGGTTTAGAAAGGGTATCCTGGTTTTGGAATCTAGAAGATGGGAGTTGGGGAAGACTGAGGGCCTATGTGCTCCTAGAGGAACAGCCACTTGGCTGGAGGGGAGATGGGAACATGAACCTTAGCTTGGGGGGTCTGGGGCAGGGTTTGGAGGGAGGTCGGGGCAGATGAGGGCAGAGCCTACAGGGTTGTGTAGAGTTGCTGTAAAGGGCATCTTGGAAGAAGAATAGGTGGGCCAAGTCCTGTCCTTTCCCCAAAATGTTCTGGGGTGGGGCTGCACCTCATCTCAGAAGTAGTCTCTAGGTTTTTCTGGGTTCTTGACCAGCCTTTTTCCTCTTCTGTCTCTGTCCACTGCTTTCTAAGCCTCTGTCTTTGAGTTTCTGTTTTTGTCTTAGAATAGAAGCAAATATAATCCACACTGGGGGTTATGCACAAAAGAAGGGCCATCTTCCCCTGGAGAGCTGTGCACTTCGCAGGGAAAAGCAAGGCGCCCTTTTGGAAATTTGTGCGCTAGGCCCCAGGTCAGAGCCTGCCCCTCTGCCTCCTCTGTCTCTGTCTCTCTCTGAAACTCTGGATGAGCCATTTGGGTGCCACCTGTGTTCCTTTCCTCTGCTTCTTAGTCACTGTCTCTCCCTAGGGGCACAGAGGGAACCCCAGCAGTTTCCTAAATCTGTCCACATCTTTATGGAACCTGAAAAGGAAGTGAGTGAGGAAATGGGATGTTTCGGGTAGAGACTGGGTGAGGGAAAAGGAGAGGGAGGAGTTGGGGTAGGGGTCCTCTCAGCAGTGGGCCCTCTTACTCTGCTGAAGATGAAGCTCAGAGAGAAACATGGACTTTGGGCTGGTCCCAAAGGGAAGGGGCCGTGGGCTGGATCTATGCTATGAAAACTAAGCTGATACTCATTGCCCTCACTCCACCACTGTCCCCCAAACCCTGCAGGGCTTAGGGCACAACAGGGAAGGCTGACAGCTTCTTTTATGGGCCCTAAATTGCAAGGAGGTGGCAATTAGCCCTCAGTGGGTCAGAGGAAAGCAACAACGTGCCTTGCCTTTTGAGGCTTGGCGGGGCCCCTGTGTGGAGCTCTCAAAAGTGGCTGTTCCTCTAGGAGCACATAGGCGCTCAGTCTTCCTCAACTCCCATCTTCTGGATTCCAAAACCAGGATACCCTCTTCAGTAAAACTGCTTCTGATGGACCCCATCTTCTAGTTCAATTTGATGTCACAGACTCATTTATTATTAATAGCTTCCTGTTTTCTCTCCCCAAATCCTTTTCTGGAAGTTTGATTAGTGGTGAGCTGAGGTCATGTAGCAGAACTTCAGAAGTTACATTTGTCATGGCATTAAATTGCTTCATACCCCTTAGATGGGCTCATCCATATTTGCAACTTTCCCCAAAATCTTGGGTCTCCAATCAACATGTGTCATTGTTATTCTCTCTGAGCACAGGGATAAAAATTCTAGCCAAACTTGGATTTAGCAGATGTAGTCTGAGGTCTTCTGTATCATAAAGAAAGCCTCATTTTTGATTATCATGAATCCTCTTGCCCATATGACTTTAACCCATGTTCTAACGTTAACCATAGTCTACTCTAACTCGAATCCCAGCTCATTTCTAATTCAGCGGCAATCCCAATTCTAAATCAATCTCCATCCAGCCTTTGACTGAACTTAACTGCATTCTCAAGTATAGCTGTAAGTGAAACTAAAACCCTATTCCTTATCATTACACAAATCCCAGTCATCAACCCTACCCTTAGTTCTAGCTGTTGTGATAACCCTAATTTCAACCTTAATTCTCATCCCAACCTCAATCATAATTCCAGTTAACCCCAACCTTAACGTCAACCTCAATCCTGCCTTCACCCAAACTCTAACCTTAGCAATCCAGAATCCAGTTAAACTCCAACCTTACACTTCAGTTTAGTGGAACCACGACCTTAATGCCTTTCTTTTCAGTCTCTCTTTTCCTGATCCCACCTGACCCCCCTCCACCCATCACTGACTTTCCATGCTTTTTTCCCATGGGTGGGTCTAGTAACCCATAGGAATACCAAGCCCTTTTCTTGGACTACTCTGAATGAAGAATCAGGATGCCTAAGTGTCCCCTACTTAGGCCCCAGCAGCATTACCTGGGCTGAATGCTCGTTTCTTCAGGCCTCTGTTCCCCATCTATAAAGTGAAGATAATGATCCCTGCTCTCCAGAGTGTGCAAGGCAATCCTATAAACCTTAAAAAAAAA